TAAAGATGGTGGTTTAATGATTTTTCAGTTAAATCATCATGTGGATAAATTAAAATTAAAGAGAGCCACATAGGAAGTGAAGGGGAACTTCAAAGGAAAAAGTGTTGTTGCCCATCCCCCCCTAAGCCCTTTGCATGAAAAATGTTGTCCATGAGCTTTACAGGACAAGAATTTTAACCTCAAGAATCTTGTTTTGGGAGTTTTTTTTTTAAAATTGTACAATCAGTAAATCATTGATAAGTAGAAAACCTGAATTTCCCAGCATGGACCAATGATGAGTGTCATGGGGTTTCTGAAACAGGAATTTTGATTAAACCCATCTGCAACTCTGAGGTCCATTACAAAGAAAAACATTATTGTCTTGGTGGGAACTGAGCCACACACCTTAGTCTTGGGCTTTTGTGGTTTGGGGAACGCATTGCATTGTTATAATGCAATTAGCCCACGAAGAACGGGGGGTGTCAGTGCATAAGGAATGAGAGATGTCTGTGGCAGTCTGCACTACTTTTAGAGCATGTAAGTAAACATGGATTATGAGGAAAATAATTTGGGGATTCTGAGTCCCAACAAATTAGGTAATTAAGTGCCAATCAATTAGTCAAGGCTCTTATCATATCAGTACAGAACATATGGCCATCTGTACATACGAGTCAAAGACTTCGTTTTGTGTTGAGGCAGATTGCCAATTGATCATTCTATTAGGACAAGGAAAACATTTGCATAAGTAGTTGATTGAATAACTATGTAGTTGAGAGGGAGAGCATGGCGCAATGATGAGACCATTTCATACAACCACATTTATGATTAGTGCAATATTTTATGCGATTTTATTTATGCAAACACTAAAGTAACTGGTTGCCGTCCTCGTGGGAAATCACAGAGGGACAAAGACAAACATTACTCAGACTCCTGATCCAGTACACGTGTGCTCATGCAGAGCAAAGTAGTGTTGGACGTGGACAATATTATACACTTCACCTCAATACAATCTTAGAAAATTCTGCCAGAATACATCCGTTGCCAACAAATGTTGTGAGTCCTCGTGTCTTATGCAACATCTGTCTTTGGAACACAAGGTTTAGTCTTCTCCCAAGCTGCATCTGGACATTTGGAAGGAGCAGTATTTTCTCTCTGTTTCGATGGTTGTTTAAACTTTTGGGGATTCTTTTAGAAAAGGGAAAGAATGGTGTGATTATCCCATGAGTGAGAGGTCTATTAGTGAGTGAATTCAGACATGTATTACCTTTGATATTATAATCCAACGTAATCCATACAACTCAAGTTCAACGAAGAAGAAAATCTTGTCTTGTAACAATGGACAGCAATTACAGACAGGTATCTCCAATACTTCTACTAATTTTTCATATTCCCTGCTAGATCCAGTGGTCTGTACTTGATTATTTAAAATAATTGCACAAAGTGTAAACTTAATAAATACAAAATAGATATGTCTCCTTCCAAATTTGAGATGAGGCTTCCAAGCAAGGCTGATTGTTACTTGATTTTTGTCGTACCAATTTGTTTAAGATAGCTCAATGTAAACGCATTTCCTTTTGACTCCTCAGAATGAACATTTTCAAAGGAATAGCTGACTTTTGACTAAAGACAAGAAAGATCATTGTAAGTAACACTCAAAATTCATGTTCTAGGGACTTGGTGTTGGGATTTTACCTAGAGGTTTAAAAGGAATGGTCGTGTACATAGTCAATTCAGAAGTGGCCATCTATTATTGACTAGGGGTGGAAATTGGAATTAAAACTTATGAATCTGGGATTAAAACTTATCCATTTAATTATGATTGACTTAATTAGAACAAAAAGATAAAAGATATTTCAGGCATTTCCAGAACATTGTAATATTAAAATTTTTTTTACCTAGTAGGTTTAAGCCTTTCTTCATACATAGATTTATTAACCTATGAGGGACAGAATATAAGGAAATAGAAACATTTGCATTTTTTTCATTTGTGGCATAAAATTTAGTGCATCTTAACATCTTTAAAATGTGGGTGTTAAATGAAAGAGACAAAGTATGGTCTAGATGTTATTAATTCTTATCTGAAGATGCTGGAGGCTCTTAACCAAAGACTAAAGCATCTTTCACAGGCTACTCACAAATCTTGCTTTATTTTCCTAATTTATGGACATCGATTGCATTATTATTAGTGAATCAATGAATAAATCGAGAACATTATGTTAAGTAAAGACACAGAATACGATGTCTGGATCAATAATAACTAGGCTTGGGGCATCGGAATAAAATACCTTGATTAAACTCAGCCTGTAGCTCTGAGGGGCGTTTTGTCTAGGGGATTTATTCGTAGAGGAAGTTAGAAGTAGTTAAAGATTGTATCTTGGGTCTTCCTGTTATTCATGAATATGGATTGCGTGATTAGTGGTAAATCAATGCATGAATAAAATATAAACAGAGGAGGGCTACCAAATATCAAATTATTAAAGGGACTAATGAACTAAAGACATATTAATGCACTTATGAAAATGTGAATTAAAAAATAAACCAAGACTGTTCCTTCTTTGCAAGCATATGAACAGAAATATCATTATTACTATAGTTAGTGGTGTGTTTCTTTTTGCTTATTTTACAGATTTATTTTTGCTATTATTCTTTTACAAAGGGTACAAATGTAGAGAGCTTTGCCAAATTACTTCATAAAATATATTCAATAATAGTAAATATTATTGTAAATATCATAGTAAATGTTATTGTAATAATAGTAAATTATTATTCAATAATAGTAAACACTTGAGAACAGCTTATTTTAATGAGAATAAGTTAATGTAGCTAATAATAAAAAATAAAATAGAGGGGTCAGAGAGATAGTACAGTGGACAGGGCACTTTTCCTTACATGTGGCTGACCCACGTTAAATATCTGGTACCCCATATGATCCCTCAAGCCCCATTGGGAGTGACCCCTTTGCACAGAGCCAAGAGTCGGCCCTGAACACAATAGAGTATGGCCCCCAAGCAAACAAACAAACAAAAAATAGGAATCCCTGGTTACCTGTGGAATCATGGAAAATGTCGTAAGCAGGGACTTTGAAAGTATAATTATAATAAAGAAGAATCCTCTTGTACTGACTGATTTTTTATTGATAAAGAACTTGGTTGACGATTTTCATGAGTAATTAATGAGTAGATAGATGTCGGTGTCCCTCCACATTCTTTTTTCTTTTTCACGTTTTTCATGAAAGCACCATGATTTACAGAGTTACCCACAGTTGAGTTTTAGATGTGCAGTATTGCAGCTCCCCCCTCCAGTCTCAGCGCCCCTCCACCAGGGTCCCAGGTCCCCTCCCTCCCACCCACCCTGCAGCCCACCCTCCTGACCTACACCTTCTTCAGTCTGCTTGTAAAGTTCGGTGCTCTTTATTTCAGTGTTGTGGACTCTCTGGTTTGGGTATTTGGCTATGTCATTCCCTAACACCACCTTTGCCCCTGACCTCGTTGGCCTGGCTCCCATCTGCCTCTTCTCCCCTCCTCTCCCCCCTCCCCCTCTCTCCTTCTCCTCTCTATATTCCAAGACCAAGGTTGATCAGGGCGTGCCCCCCCCACCCCCTTTAAAACACTGCATTTTCTCATCCAGTTATTCTAAATCCACAAACAAGTGCTATCATCCCATGTTTACCCATCTTCTGTCTAATTTCATTTAGCAGGTGTGGCCCCCCAAACAAAAGCAAAAACAGTCAGAGAAGTCCAAGTTTTCCACATTAAAAATATTTACCGGAGCTCAGGGATATGGCTCAGGAGAGGTCTTGCTTGAGTGGAATGTATAAAGCTTCGAGTTCCACCCTCGACACAACAAAAAAAAGAGAGTCTTGAAAAATTCTGTGGCTTCTTTGACTTTTGGTACAGATATAAAGGTAGATATTAATCGTTACAGTCCTGTATGGGGTAGGAGAGCAAAGGACCTCCCTTGCAATATTACACTCTAAGCAGGGAGTAAATTGACAGATGACTACAACACCCCAGCTGAATTGATTATGAAAATGTGACATGAACCAATATTGAGATTATTCATGGAAATATTTCTTTAAAAAAATCTAAATTTGCACTTTTAATTTTTTTTTTCAAAATCCACCTGTTTCTCCTGGTTGAATACTGCCCAGAGGATTCGGTCGCTGTGTCTTAACTCTTGAGGACCTTGGCTGTTTCTTCTTGGCCAAGAATCAATGTAAGAAAATTAAGTTTCTCTTCTGTGTTCACCTGTTCATGGATCGTCGCTGAGTTCAGTGCAACAAAAGACAATACCTATACCCTCCGCCAAACAAGCAAACGAACAAAAATACATCCCAGGAACTCCAAATGTAGACCTAAAGTAGGTAAGCACCAGGTATTAAGAAGCAGAGGTCATTTTTGTACAACTGAGATTCATTTAATCATTTAATTAAATACCAGAAATCATTTAATTAAATACCAGAGCCATTTGTAGTCCACATTATTGATGTTATTTATGGATCTTGATGGTTTAAGTGAATTCTTTATAAAGAATATAGTGGCGCCAGAACACTTCTATAGCAGGTCAGGCACTTGCCTTGCACGTGGCTGACATGGGTTTGATCTCGGGCACCCCGTATGGCCCCATGAGTCCTACCCCAAGTGATCCCTGAGTGCAGAGACAGGAGTAACCCCTCAGTATCATTGGTTTGACTCAAAAATCCACCCCCAAGCCCCCAGAACAAAAAACTAATCTAGAATCTATATTTTGGCTATGGGATAGCACTGTGCTTTTATTTAGACTTACTTGTTTGAAACCTTTGTGATTTTAATGGTTCACTAATGCCATGTTGAAAATTAAACAAATTAAATATGTGGCCCAGTCAAGGACCAGCTTCGCTGTTGGTGCTGACGGGAAATCAGCCTTCCATTGGCATCGATTGTCAAGGCTCTGAGTTTCATGAATCAAAGCCGCTATTCTTGGGAGCATATATTTCATGGGTTAATGAAGGCATCGGTGCATGGAGGGAAGTGCGCCAAGCCTGGACCAATGATGAGATTGGAGGGTGTCTGAATCAAATGTTTTGATTGATGCCATCTATGACTCTGAGATCCACTATTCCAACTTGACCCCACTCCTCACAGACAAAGCTTATTGCAGAAGTTTGGACAATTCGGGTTCCTGGATCGTGGGTGTCCACACCCTTGTATGGGTATTGATTGAGTTTCATAAGGTAATAAATGCATGACTAGTTAAAGAACTATAAGATAGGTATACAGGAACATGACATACTCTCATAATTGTGAGAGCATGTAACACAAAGGGGGTGATTATACAATAATGTAGCACTGAATTTCGTTGAAATATATTGATGAAATCTGTTGCTTATTTTGTAATATGTTTGCACGCAGATACAAGTGAGACTAGTTTTTGAGGTTGGTGGGTGTCAGCTGTTTGTTTAATCTCATTTACAGACAGGAACATTACATAAATAATTGATTAGTTACTGAATTAAAGTACGAATGAGCACAGCTCTTGAAATGTGAGTTTTGACAAGTTATTGTCAATTTGCTATGTTCACTGTTTTATTAAAAGTTAGGAAAAAATCTGGCTTTAAAATCCATGTAGCAGGACTGGAGTGCTAGTACAGCAGGTAGAGCATTTGCCTTTCATGTGACTGACCCGGGTTCGATCCCTGGCATCCCATAGGGTCCTCCAAGCTCTTCCAGGAGTAATTCCTGAGTTCAAAGCCAGGAGTGACCCTGAGCATCACCAGGTGCCAGGATTAACCATGAGCATGACCAGGTGTGACCCCCTAACCACCCCACCAATCCATGTAGATATTAGCAAGACACGTTGTGAAGGTTATTGTCTGATGGTCATTAATTCATAGATGTTCATAAATTGTTACTTGTGGACAGATAATGAATGAACCTCAGTTATTCCAAAGGCCTCAAAATCAGGAACTAATAAAAAGAGAAATGATGTTCAACCTTTATATATCCTGATGATGTTCTCTTTGTAACTTGAATGTAGATATGTAGACCCTTTAAAATTTTTTTTATTAAAGCATTGTGATTTACAAAGTTATTCATAGTTGAGTTTTAGACATATAATATAGCAACACCGATCCCAGTAACAGTGGCAACTTCCCTCACCAATGTCCCCGGGGCCCCTTCCGTATGCCCCCGCCACCACCCTCCAGCCTGCCCTCTTGACAGGGTTCATTCTGAGTTTAGTTGTTAATGTTTGGGTCTCTTGATTTCAGTATTGTTGATTCTGCTTTGGGTATTTGGGTTAATGTAGCCAATAACAAAAAATAAAATAGATGGCTCAGAGAGATAGTATAGCTATTCTTGGGTCATTTATGAAAAGTAGAACTTCACAGTTAAACTATTTTCCATGAATTCCACCTGATCTGGATTGTTCATTCTTCTGTATATTGAGGTCTGGCCCCCAGAGAATGAAAACTGTGACTGGAGTATTTGTCTCTGGCCTATTATCTCTTGGGACTAGGGGTTGAACATATCTTGTAAAAATTTTTTGTTAACGATTTTTTTTTTTTTTGCTTTTTGGGTCACACTCAGCGATGCACAGGAGTTACTCCTGGCTCTGCACTCAGGAATTACTCATGGCGGTGCTCAGGGGACCATATGGGATGCTGGGAATCGTACCCAGGTTGGCCACGTGCAAGGCAAATGCCCTACCCGCTGTGCTATCACTCCAGCCCCTGTTAACAATTTTTTATTAGTCCTCAATTATTTAAATTTAACCACACGTCAACCTCACATACTGTTGTGCCTGGAAACTAAGATTGTGATTAACCAGATTCCACATGACTATGTTTCAAAATAAGATGGAAGACATTCGCTGTTCATTGTCAAAGCTGTTTGGAACTGATCGTATTTTTCTATTTTCTATTTTTTGAACCCGGGTCGGCTGCGTGCAAGGCAAATGACCTACCCACTGTGCTGTCGCTCCAGCCCTGACCCACAGAGTTTTGATACTGAAATGGCTAATGAACCTGTTTGGGCTTTACAAATAATTCGTGTGTCTTGATTTTAGTGGATCAATAAACAAAGGGATAAATTGAAAAAAACCTACTTATCCTGGATCAATGATGAGTTCCCTGGGGTGTCTGAAATCAAGGATTTTGATTAAACCCTATAACTCTGAGGTCCATTTCCAGAATACTACTGTTTGTTAACTTTGTGGAAGAAGAACGCATTCCAGGAATTTAGCATACTCAATCCGGCACTGAAAGACAAAAAGAAAACAAACCCAAACCCAAACCAAATCCAAGTTTAGGCGTTTGTTCTTGAGCTTCTGAGTTTTTTGTTTTATTTTCAGCTGGCCAACCAAGAAATGTATAAATAATGACAAGTTAGGTTATTTCTGGTTCAACTTAACAGTTTGTAATCTAATATATTTAATATGAAATCATTATTAATACATTTTTGAAGTCCCGAGCTCCAGTAAAATGAATTGATTCAAGTTGAATCTTCTGGGAAAATGAGCATTTAGATAAATGGATATAAAATTCCGTGTTGTTTTACTGGGTTAGGTGGTTAGTTTTTGTTTTATTAGAAGAGCCAAAAGCATTATGGTTTTTCTAAGATGACTGATTAATTGCATAATCACACCTGGATCTCTGTGGTAACTGTGGTTCGTGATTGATTATGGACAATCCTGTGATATTTGCAGTTACTTTTTTTTTAAACTCAGGTAGCAGTACATTGCTCAATAACAATAGTAATTGTTATTATTGCCTGGGAGCCCCCTGTGCAGTGCTCACTCCTCGTGTGTGTGAGTGGGATGATTCAATGCTGACACTCTGATGCCAGGACCCACCAGAACAGTGCTGGGCTGGTGGCAGGGCGTGTGGTGCTGGAATTCAGGCTGGCACCTTCTACATGCCAGACCTGTGCGCTAGCACATGGGTTTGTATTCTTGGCCCCTATTTACGATTTTGTTCTCTGAAGAAAAACACAGTTACAGTCACCTCATCTTTTTCCTGTGCCCAGTGAGCATTTGTGTAGGTATCAATACTGTGCTGTTTCTCTGGAGTCATAAATATTGATGCTATAATACAGTTATAAGAGAATAAGTTAATATTTTGTTAATTATTGGAAAGAATGAAAAGTATAAACTGTTGAGGATTGTGGTCATCATGAAACAGGATTCAGCTGCTCCCAGAGCAAGAAGCCTAAATTTGTGATGTTTGAAATGGGGACTATATTTAGATAGCTTTTTCTTTCTGGAAATATCCTTAAAAATGGAAGCCAGATGATTCGGTGTGCAGCTGTACACATCTAGACAGGAACGAATGAAAATTGGTCCTAGGCTTTAGTTTCAAATCAGCCAAATTCTCAAGCTTAAGATTAATTTAGAAGTATCTTAGACCTTACTTTGACAGATAACGGGACTATAAATGGTCAACGGGGTCATAATTTCTACTCTTTTCCCTGGTATTGGTTCTGTCATTTTCCTGATCAGTTAAATTCAATCAGTGAATCAAATAATCAAAACAAGCCACACAAAGTTTTAAGGTGCAAATACTCATTAATATTAACAAGCTCAATTTAAAAAATCTGAATCTAGCTTGTGCTAGCTGCTTCCTAATCCAGTTTAGTCTCATCTCTGTTTTTTTTTGTGTGTGTGTGTGTGTTTGCTTTGTACTCCACAGAATGGATGCACAATGTTTTAATTAAGAAGCATAGAAAGTTCTGTAAGTAACAGAGTAATTGCTTCTGGTTGGTGGTCTAAGTCTGTGTGAAAGGAAGTAAAAGACTCCACGGGCAGATGAAATCAGTGAAGGTCATATGTGGGCCAGTTCACTACGTCGTGATCAAGTAAGGAGAAAAAGGCATGACCAACTTATCCATTTTCATACTGTTATTTTATGAGCTCATTAATGTAAAATGTATTATTCAGTTTTAATTTTAATTCAAAGACTAAAATGGGATTAATGTGAGATGTTAATTTGTCTCTGCAGCATGCGGTGATCAATTTATAAAAGATATTCATCTGGAACTCTAAGGTCCTATACAATCAGAAATCTAATTAACGCTTTCTGTGGTAAATGGTCCTATGGAGACATGTGAGAAATATTTAGGAGTCTTGTTCTTTTACACACACACACACACACACACACACACACACACATGCACACACACACGGAGTTTGTTGCTTTATCTTTGTTACCGTTTGGCTAATGAGAGGATTTCATGGGTACCATGTCCAGCACCGTTCACTCCATAAGGATATACACATAGCTTTACTTTCAGTTGGTAACTGGATCAATAATGGAATCAACGCAAACACATAAATTAGTAAGTATGACGAAGGTGAAGCAGTGTTAGACTCTAAATATATGTGGCAAGTCATGAAGCACTTTCGATATTAATTGACCTCATTGATTTCCATTAAGAAATAAATCGACCAGCTCATTAACTGCCCTGTCCAAGGAATACCTCGGCACTGATGAGGATTCATCCCTCTGCTCATGATCAACCTTGCGGGCGAGGTTGCTCATTTTGTGAAGAGAAAAGTACGTAAATATTATGAAAAGCTTATTACAGAAGACAGACTAAGTGAAATGTGAAATCAAAATGAATTGGAGAGAATGTCTTCATTTTAGAAACCTGTGTCTTTGCTTTGCTCCCATGCTGGACATAGGATGACTGGACCCTATTCCGGAGTCATGAGCTCTGTGGTTACATCCAGTGTCAGGGACACTGAGCCATACGATACGGAAAGGTATTGTCCTACTTTTAATTTGCATGTGTTTATTTTTTTAAGAATAAGATTTATTTCCTGTGAACAAAGAAAGGCCACTGTTAACTCCATGATAAATATACTATCCCATGATACATCATGTTGATTAATCATATATGAACCATAGAGGAAAACTGGTATATTGATATGGCAAGTGATGGCATCAGCTGATAGGGAGGGCCCTTAAGGCCTTTATTAGCTTACTTTAAAATCACAAGTATTTAATGATCAGGAAATTGGCAAATTAATTCTTTTAGAGAGTGATGAAAGTGAAAACAGATTGGTCCAGTTGGATCACGGATGCTGCTGCTCTTTGAGCTCTGAGTGATGTTTTAGGTA